TACATACTCAGTAGGAGGATAACGAGATGAAGATTTTTTCTCTAGTAGATCTTCTGAGAGAACTCTCTGAAACATTAATAGTAGTTGGTTGCTGGCCAATCACATCATCTTGTACTGGAGCATCAACAGCATCATGCTGGTCATTCTGAACATGATCACCATTTTAATTATCAACTTGATTATGATTAGTTTGAAGATTTTCTTTTGGTGAAAAGTCACAGAAACTGGATCAACATCAACTGAGCTCTCAGTGCTCGGAGAATCAACCTTCTCGGCTTTGTCAAAATATTCAACTTTCTGGTCTTTAAAGAATACAACATCTTGGATTCTAACAAGTTTCTTCTCAACTAGATCATAGAAACGATAGCCAACTTTATTTGACCATAATCAATAACGATGCACTTCCTAGTTTTGATGTCCAGCTTTGACCTCTCATCCTTAGGAACATGCACAAAGGCCTAATACTCGAAGACTCTCAAGTAATCATAAGAAATATTCTTACCAAAACAAACCCTATCAGGGACATAACAATCCAAACAATAGTAGGAGATAAATTGATAACATAAGCATCCGTATTAAGTGCTTTTGTCCAAAAAGAGTCTGGTAGCTTAGCATCTGAATGTAAATATCTAATCCTCTTAACTAAAGTTATGTCCATCTTCTCTGCTAAACCATTTAACTAAGGAGTCTTTGGAGAAGTTTTCTTATGTCAAATACCCTGAGCTCCTCTTAATTATCAAAAGGATTAATATACTCACAATCATTGCCTATGCGAATACGTTTTAATTTTTTCCCTGTTTGCCTCTCAATCAGGGCATGAGAATTCTTGAATATATTAAGTACTATATCTTAGACTTCAAAGGAAATATCAAGAGTTTGCGAGAATGATCATCAATAAAAGTCATAAAGTAAATTAAACCACCATGAGATTTTACTTTAAAAGGATCATATAAATCAAAATATATCAATTCCAGCAAATCAAGCTTTCTTGAAGGCGGATGACTCTGAAAGAAACTCTTTTCTGTTTCTCGACTAAGCAATTAATATCTCTATAACTTTACTTATTTTACTCCAGAAAGTAAATTTTTCTTAGCCAAACTATCAATCCCCTTCTCCCTCATATGACTCAGCCTTCTATGCTATACCTCTGATGAGTATCATTCTCCACCAAATTAACCGAGTCGATACAAATAGAGCCATGCATTTATACAAGTTAGATAACTTCATACCTCGAGCCACAACCATTGAACCTTTAGTAAGCTTCCACTAGCCACCACGAAGGATATTATGATAACCCTCATCATCAAGCTTTCCTGTAGAGAGTAGATTCAGGATGACATCTGGAGCATGCTTAACATTGTTAAGAACTAACCTGAAGCCATTGTTAGTTTTCAAAGAAACACTACCAATACCAAATACATCAACCTCATATCATTGCCCATTTTTAACTTTCCAAAGTTACCTAGAGTATAAGAAGAAAAATATTCTTCCTTTGGCATGACATGACAAGTAGCACCTGATTCCACAAACCAGCTAGTCTCATCATGAACAAGATTAATGACATCTTCATCCTGGGAAAAAAGAAGATCATCATCAACAATAGTAGCAACATGATTTTATTATCATTATCTTTCTTCTGTTGTCTCATTTCTCTCTTAAACCTGTAATAACATTTCTTGATATGTCCTTTCTTGTTACAATGATAACATGTAATATTCTTGTACCTCGACTTACTTCTACTTTTGCCTCTATCACTCTGACCTCTGAAGTTACTTCTCCCCCTGTCTTCAATAACCAAAATGTTGGAGTGTGAAACAGAAGACGATAAAGCTTGAGATCTTCTTCTCATTTCTTCATTTAAGACACCACTCTTATTATATTTCATAGTTACAATAGCACTAGGAGCAGAAATAGTTAGAGAACCCCAAAGAGTTTCTTAAGGGTTAGGAAGAGTATTCAAAAGCCAGAGTCCTTGTATTTCTTCATCAAACCTTACACCCATTCTAGACACTTGGCCAAGGACACCTTGAAAATTATTTATTCGATCAGAAATAGGACTTCTCTCTTATCTAATATTTATTAGTTGTTTTAGCAGGAATAACTTATTATTGCTAGTCTTCGAAGCATAAAGTGTCTCGAGATTTTCCCACAAACTTCTAGCATGTGTCGCATTCACAATATGATTATGCACATTATCTTCAACCATTGTCTAATATAGCCACAAACCTATAAGTGCTCAAATTATCAATCCTCATCAAACAGAAATTCGGGTTTATTGGAAGCAAAAATAAGGTAAATATATTTTCTTGACAAATAAAAGATCTTTCATCTTGTCTTTCCAAGTGTGATAATTACTGTCATTTAAACACATAATCTTGCTCATACTTGCCTCCATTATTCAAATAAAGTATCATCAACCAATATAATAAGCCCAAGGTCTGATATCACTATGTTGGGAAAAAGCAAGCACAAGAACAAGGTAGCAGCGAAATAATACCCAAGTCTAATTTTTTCGATCTATTTGAACCAAGAGAAGACAAACAAATTCAAGCACAAACGTATACGGGCAGCAAGTATATCAACCAACAAGAATATGTCAATGTAAAATTATCAAACACATGAGACACCAAGATTTACGTGGAAAACCTCTTCAATATGAAGAGTAAAAATCAGGGGGCTAAAGGCCTTCAAAACTCCACTAAATCAATCAACAAGAGTTACAAAATTTCTTTAAATTGGGTATAAAGCAAGTGCCAAACCAACATTAACAATAGAAAGAAGGTTGCACCAAAATAATAGAAGAAAGAAGAGAAATCATCCGAAAACACAAGCTACTGTTCAAGCCTCCAAAATCGTAGGTATATGCCTCCAAATCCAATCTTCATTGTTGAAATATAAGAACCAGATGTTGAAAACTCCCATCTCAAATTTGAGCATGATCCAATAGTTAACGAGTCAAACAATGCTATTTGAAGCGGATTGCCTGAGCAGAAATGTTTTGGAGCAAACGAATATATTTTTCTCTTTCACAAAGCTTCAAAAACGGTTGCACCCCATATAATTTTTCTCTTGTTATGTTTCAAACCTAAAATCGGTCATATTTATATGTCTTGATATTGGTGGGCTACAGGGCAAAGTGGGCTAGGTCCAAAAGACACCGTAAGACAGGAAAGGCCCAAAAAACCCAACACTATTTGCAGGGGATGATCACTATATTTCCTTCGTAATATCCGTTGCCTATAGTTATCAATATCTGTAAAATTGAGACTTAATCTACTAAATTCTCCCCTGTTCTATGGTTCGTCAGACTTAGAAATTCTTTCTTTCCTACAGAATTATGGATTCTTGAAATCAAAAGGAAACAAATAAACAGGATTGTAAGTTGGATGATCAGATCAGAAATGCTTTTGCCACATTACCACATGAAGTTGTCCTTGACATACTTTGCTGAGTGCCGATAAAACCTATTATCAAGTTTAGGACGATATACAGATCCCGCGAATGAATTATCGCATAATCCAGAGCTAGTTTGTTTGCAACTGTCTCAGGCAGTGAAGAATGATCCATGCCTTACTTTTCACTGTGATTGCCCCATCAAGAATCAGCTTTAATCCAGGGCTCAGCCAACATACAAATACTCTTAACATAGTGTGATATTGTCTGCCTTGGACCAAACTAAGCCCGTACGATTTTTTTCCAAAATGCCTTGTACTATCTGACCATGAAGACAAAGGACTTGTAAGGAAACATAACCTTCCTATCTCAACATCTATGCCAGAGTTCAATGTGGTTGGCGCCTGTATTGGCTTATTATGTTTATATATGATTCATTACTCAATGATAGACTCATTCTGCACAATCCTTTTACTGGTGACTACAAGAAGCTCTCAAAATTCATTGAGTTTGAAGAGTAACAAGTAGTATCTGGATATAGATTTCATCGAATTACAAAGGAGTACAAGTCTATCAAGATTGTGTACTACTCAAATACCTATAACATACCTTCAAAGATCCGTAATGTTAAAGTGTGGATGCTAAGCAGAAGCGACGTTCAGATATTTAGTCTTAGTCGCTGTAAATGGAGGAGCATTGGGGAAGTAAACTACTTTCTTGACACCAAATCAACAGGAGTTTTGGTGAATGGACGGGTTGAGTAAAAGGAGAAGGCAAAATGGCCATTTTGAGAGATCCATTTTGTCCCTTGACCTAGATGATGAGAGATTTGGCCAGGTCCCTAGGCCTAATTTTAGTTTTAACCAACTGGACAGGTTTGATTATCATCTTGCAGTTATAGGAGGGTGTCTTTCTGCTGTTTAAGTAAATCTTTGCGTTAAGGAATGGTTGGGGATTTGGGTCATGAAAGAATCTTGGGTCATGATGTTCTCTGTGAAACCTTACTTATCATGGAGTTTTAATGATGGTAAAATATTTCAGTCGGACAAATCACCCAGAGTTCTATACATGCTAAAGAGTGGAGAGATCTTGTAGGAGTACAATGGTGGAATCTTAGTTTCCTATGATCCTGAGAGTGGAGAATTTAGAACCTAATGGTTCAATCAATGCCTAATCGTGTTCGAACTGTAGTCATGTTGGTATCCTCAACTGGATAAGTTTTCAGTAGACGCCATATTGCTATTGACAGTAAGATTATCGTTGCTAGTTTATACACAGAATTCAAGTCTCGTAAATACTCATTAGTTTTACTCTGCATCCAGCGACTTAAAACTTCAAATTCAGATCCATAAAAGGTAATAAGTGTAGCTGACTTGCATCCGATGACATAAAATTTCAGATCACCTCTAATAAGAGTTTGTTTATTTGCCACAGGAAACAAAAGGAAAAGGAGAATTACAGAGAAACAGGTGGCCACAGAGTGAAACTGAAGATGATAGAGATTCTAAGCATTTTCAATGCACAATATTCTTGTTGTATGAAAAGAAGACTTCTTCTAATTTCAAAAAGAAAAATAAAGTAATGGGACCCCCCCCCCCCCTCTCCCCCTCCCAAAAAAAGAAAGTCTACTAACTAAGAATTCATGCTACCCGAGCTGCAATACATTGATATCAAGATTTGTGTATGAGTTAGAAATGGGCTTTGAGTCAACTTTTCTACAACCCTTTCAATGACTCTATTAACTAAGAATTCATCTTGATGGTCAAGCACCTATCATCTTGTCCACCTCCAAATGAAAATCAGCACTATGATCGTTAAGATCATTCCGGCACACTTGATCCATCTATCAACACGATTCCTCTTCTCAATAAGTCTCATTACAGAATTTGATAGCCCCAAAGTGTTCAGGACGTCTAATGCCTTCCGTTGAGCTCGCTGCAACAAATAATCAAATAAGACACCAGGTGTTCAAACCATAGTGGCAAAGACTAACACACAGTTTTTGAAAAACTTTTGGACAATAACACTAATCATTGCAATGACTTTTCTAAACAAGACTAAAGAGGAGACCATCTGATAGTATATTCAGACCACGTTAATAGATGTGATCTATTATATGTACCTTTAAACGATCCCTTTGCTCGCTATATTTTGAAAGAATGGCTGCTCCTGTTGCTAAGGTTTCTTCAAGCATCCTGGATGAGCTACGGGCAGATTGCATCGCTTGTGCTTCGTCATCAAAAATCCTCAGTACATGAGATGAATCAACGCTCTAGTACATTAAGAAAATAAATTAGATGGAATACGTAACAGTATACAGAATGATTCATCATATCAGCGCAAAAAAGATTACATACAGCTCTCCCAAGTAATTCTGCTCTCTCCCGGACTTCTTGCATCCGTCTCTGATGCTGCAGGTTATATTTATCCAGACTATCTTTCAAAGAGTCAACTTCTTCAGCCACTTGTTCCACTTTCCTGTACACGTAAGACACAGACTTTCAGTTATGGCATAAAAACTTCTAATTAGAGACGAAAACCGACTACGACTGGGTAAGACCTGAAGGCATCAAGTGCATATGAAGTGGATACATGACAATATACTCATGAAACACCAACACAAAAGCCCCATGGCGTCAACATATCCATGAAAGCATCATTAAAGCATACATACTGCAGGAAAACATGACCCTCTTTTTGACTCCACAAAGAATAAGCGAAAATGCATTGATTCATTACACTTCTAAGAAGAAAAAAAAACGTTGGTTTATTGCAAATTGGTGCTTGCTCCACTGCATCTTATTCCACCTATCACTAATAATCTATATCAGATATAAAAGTTATTTAAGAAGTACACGACTGACAGTTTTTCACTAAGAACCCCTCACAAAACTACGTGAATTCATCACCACTTAACTTTAGGTTTTGTTAATCAAAGGGTCGCGAAAGTAATTCAGACTCACCAAATTTGATTAGCACTGGCCAACATTTTTTTGAATCAACAATACAGTTCGACTTAATTTCAAAAACTAAATACAAATCCTAATCAAAATTTCTCCAATAAATCACACGCAGTATGATCTAGGAAATTAACAATTAAAATTGTATGAAAATACAGATTTATTTCTCAATTGATAAACAATGAATGATTGGATAATTTCAAATTTGGACATTGTGAAGATATGACCCTTGGGTCTAACTCAACCCCGAAAAGCTAGCTCATGAGGGGAGCATTTCCTAAGACCGTATAAGGAGAACACAACCTATTCCCTCAAATAATGTGGGACTTGACAGACATCTACTAAACAAATCATACCAACAATCTGATTACTGATGGATCCTACCAAATCATACGACATCATATTACCTCAACAGTCAAAACTGAGACTTCTACAAATTTGAGCACGTCAAGGACCCAAGACATGCATTTCGTCTAATTTTTATACTAACTCGATAGAAGCATTTTCGTATGAAAGATCTAACATTATCATTTATAATGACATGCATTGTGTCTAATTCCATAATTTTAAGTACTCATAGCTTCATTTCGAATTATTCGACGATAAGACTACTCGATTGTCATTTGCTCATAGCCAGAGAAAGTGAAATCTTAAAACATTTTCACCTTAATTTATCAATTAATTATGCCTCAATATCAAATCAGCCATATGAAACCTCAACAGCCATGTAACGACCCGACCGGTCGTTTTGAGCTCTAGCGCACCGTTCAGCAATTTGAGGCCATGAGCAGCTTCAATTCAGGCATTATGACTTGTATGCGTGGTCGGAATTAAATTTCGGGAAGTTCGGAGTTGACTTGGAGAGGAAATTCTCATTTCGGAAGCTTTAAGTTGAGAGAACTGACTGGGATTGAATTTCAGAGTAAACGACCTCGAAATCGGGATCTGAAGGTTCTAGTAGGTTCGTATGATGATTTCAGACTTGGACGTATGCCCGGATCGGGTTTTGGGTGACCCGAAAGCGTTTTGGCGCCTATTGTGGAAGTTAGCTTTTTTGAAGAAATTTCATAAGTTTGGGTTGAAGTGCATTTCAGTGTTACCGATGTCCGTTTGGGATTCCGAGTCTGGGAGTAGCTCCGTATGGTGATTCTGAAGTTGGGAACGCGATCGGAAGTGAATTCGGAGGTTCGTGGGTCATTTTGGAGTCATTTGGCTAAAGATAGAAATTTGAAGGTTTTTGAGAAGTTTGACAGGAAGTGGTCTTTTTGATATCGGGATCTGATTCCGAAAGTTGGAGTATGACCGTAATGTCGAATATAACTTGTGTGCAAAATTTGAAGTCAATCCGCCGTGATTTGATAGGTTTAAACATCGAAAGTAGAAGTTTGAAATTCTAAAGTTCATAAAGCTTGGATTGGAGGTCGATTCGTGATTTTAGCGTTGTTTGATATGATTTGAGGCCTCGGGTAAGTCTGTAATGTGTTGTGGGACTGGTTGGTATGATTGGTTGGGGTCCCGGGGGCCTTGGGTGGATTCCGGGTGGTTAACGGATTAAAAATGAAATTTTTCAAAGGCTGAAGTTGCTGGTTGCTGGTACAACCACACCTGCGAGACTTGGGCCGCAGGTGCGGAGCCGCAGAAGCGGCCAGAGGAGCTGCAGATCCGGTTTTGGACCAGAAGTGAAGGGGCCGCAGATGCGGTCAAGCAGCCGCAGAAGCGGAACCGCACCTGCGGCGATCGAGTCGCAGAAGCGGAAAGGAGGGCCTGGTGAGAAATCCGCAGGAGCGGTAGAAGGACCGCACCTGCGGAACCGGAGAAGCGATCAAGGGACCGCAGGTGCGGAAGTGCTGGAGGCAGTGAGTGTTTTTAAAAATCGGGATTTGGCCATTTTCTCTCACTTTTCTCTTGGCTTGGGCGATTTTGGAGAGCTTCAAGTGGGGCTTTCCATCATCAACAACAAGGTAAGCTAATCCCACCTATCTTGAGTTAAATATATCGATTATGTATGGATTTTAGCATGTATATTGGTAGAAATTTGGGGGTTTGAGGAAAACCTAGAAAATTGATATTCTTAGAATTTGACCACGATTTTGGGTATGAAATTGAGAGTAAATTATGTATTTAAGTTCGTGGAGTTATGGATAAGCTTAACCTTCGAAAATTTTCGGAATCCGGGCACGTGGGCCCGAGAGCGATTTAGTCAACTTTTCGACTGGGGTTAGGAATTGCTATAAATTGGATTGTAATGAGTAATTGAGCACATATAAATGGATTTGCATAATTATTTGGCTAGTTTGGAGCATTGTGCATCAATTTGAGTCTTCGGAAGGGCGTGGAAGGCCGGTTATGGATCTTCAGAGCGAGGTGAGTCTCCTTTCTAATCTTGTGAGAGGGAATTCTCCCCTTAGGTGAATTAATTGGATTTGTGCTCCTAATTGTGGGGGCTACGTGCGCACGAGGTGACGAGAGTCCGTGCTTAGCTACTATTGTGTTTAAGTCTGGGTAGTCTACGACCCAAAAGCATGCTATACTTGGAATATTTGTAATCTTATTGACAGTGTGAATTGCTTAAATCACATCGAATTAGTGAATGAATTTCTAAAAAGATTAAATTTTATTTTTCTTGAATTGTTAAAAGAGAATTGGCTTTTCCTTGGATAATTGTTCCCTGATAAATTCATGATTGACTGATTGTTGTATTTATTTATATTTGACCGCATCGCATGTATGATTCGCGAGCGGGATAGTAGATGCATCTACGGTTCGGGCCGCTCGACCCTCGGCAATGCACATTTTACATTCATGTTGGATCGGGCCGTACGACCTCGGCATGAGTTGCGCATGCTTGTATTGCTCGCCTTGAGATTTATTGATATTGCTATCTACTATCCCCGGCTTGAGATAATTGTTAATTAATGGATTATGAATCCGGATACTTTAAATGAAAAGGAACTTTTACCAGTTGGGTAACTCATTTGAATCTATTGTTGTCCTTAATAAATCCGTGATTCATCTTATTAATAATAGAATTATTGGACCATTAGTAAGTGTTGAAGTTGCCATCTCGTCTCTACTTCTTCGAGATTAGGCGGGATACTTACTGAGTACACGTTGTTTTCGTACTCATTATACACTTGCTGTGCATTTTGTTGCACAGGTACAGGTACTTCTATTGGCCTATTGGGCGTAGCAGCACGTGCGACCCGGAGAGTAGGTGAGCTGTATTTCCTTGAGGCGACCCGCAGCTAGTATAGGATCTCTCAGAATCGTATTTACTTTCTGTCCAATTGTGTTCCGGACAGCTGTTGTATTTTATTCAAATTCTTAGAAATTGCTCATGTACTTGTGACACCAGGTTCTGGGATGTTTATGGGTTTATTCAGAAATTTTTAAAAGATGTTGAATGTTCCATTATTTATTCAGTGGAATTTGCTATGTATTGTTTAAACGTATAAAAAAAATGATTTCGGAAATATTTAAAACGAGAATTTAATTAAGTATTTTGGTTGGCTTGCGTGACAGCGGTGTCCGGCACCATCATGACCCTTAGTGGATTTTGGGTCGTGACAAGCCATATGCACCCAAGGGTGTGGCCTAACAGTCAATAAAGTGGAAGGACAACCATTAGGTCTTGGGTTCAAATTCTAGAGAAAGCAAACATTACTAGATGATTTCTTCTCATGTGCCTAAGCCTTAGATGAACAAAGTTACCTAGTACCTGTCTTGTGCGGGTGGGAGATGATAGCATGCACCGGATGGAAGAAAAAGTATATCCTCAACATCCATTCCGCTCCATTCAACTCCATTTCATTCCAGTTCTAAATCATTTTCCTAAATTAAGGATTCTCTAAGCCTCACAATCCTTACAAGAATACCCAATTTAATCTCAACTATATGAGTCTTTAATCGAAAATATCAACCAAAAGAGAACAAACAAAGAAGCAGTTGAAATTCAAATATCACAATTCAGGGAGAATAAAGAGGTGACCTTTTCCAGAGATCACGTTGAGATTTAGCAGGTATGGATCGCCAGAGACGTTCCATTTCAGAGCAAAGCGATTGGATCTGACTTATATCTTTTCTTAAACCGTCAACTGATTTCTCCGAAGGATCGCTCAAGGCGGCGCCCGACGACAACACGGAGGAAGAAGAAGAAGAAGAGGAGGTGTATTCGAAACGTTCGAGCCTCTCTAAACCGTCTCTGGTTTTGAGTAACAGCCGTCGGGAACGCTGGTAGAATTCTGATAAAGTTCCGCCACCGCCGGCCACCTCAACGGCCATTGCCATTGTTGTTTCCAATACCTTGGGGCTGACGAGGTTTATTAAAGTGGATACTTTTTGATTTGGTTTGGTTTTGGTTTTAAATTTTAGAAAAATCATTAAATTTGGTTTTGGTTTTAATCAGAAAAAAATCGAAAAAAAATCGAACCAAACCGTCTATAGGAGTAGCTATTTCAAATTTATTATTACACCTATATATATGTATATTTTATACAAAGTTTCAAAAATTTTATGGTAAATGTTAATAGTTTTCACTTTTAGTATAGTTCTTTACCTTTACATTCTAGTTTGACCGGTAGTTTTCTTTTGTTAAGTGTAAGAATCCATTTTATGTTAAAAATAATATATTTTTAGTTGAGTCCTTAAATTATTCATCACTATTTGATTCAATTATCATCAATATATGTTGGTAAATAATAGATTTATCAAAGGGCAATTGATTTGATATTGTTACGTTGAAAATGTGGTCGCCGAAATATGTGTTTGGTAGTGTATGTCATATATTTAAGAAAAACCCGACAAATAACCGAAAAAACCGAAAAACTGACAAAACTCGACATAAACCGAATCGAGAAAAAACCGACTTAATTGGTTTGGTTTGGTTCTAATATTTGAAAAATCGACTTACTTGGTTTGGTTTCTTTTTAGGGAAAAACCGATCCAAACCGCACCATGAACCCCCCTAATTATAGTTGAAGAAATTTTACCCTGTAGTTTTAGATATAACAGAAAGGTTACTTGTTGAGTTGTTTCAAGTTTCCCCAAAAGTCCCAAAAAATGATTAAGGTTTCATAATTATAGGATTAATATATAATTTTCTTATGTGAATTTAAATCAAATACTAATACTAATTACTAATAATATTGGAATATGATGTAAGATCAGAAAGTTACACAAAAATAATTGGTATTTTTTTCGTATATATACAAAATTATAAACTTATTTACCATGTTTTAATTAGGTTTTTGTATTTTCAGAAAGTAGCTATACTTTTTTTTAACAAAATATATACAATTCAGTCAAATTGCATCAAGCTCTTCTTCCTCCTTCGATGTAGGACTGAAAATTTTACTATATTTGCTCGTTTATCAAATTACCTGAAAATCTAGATATAAGCCCTTAAAATGTTTTCAAGTGTTTGCCACAACACCCAATCGAAACCAAATCTAATTTCAATTTTTTTTTATTTTTGAACCGAAGTTTTGAAGCAATGGTGGATATCTCTTTTTCAAGGGTCATGTTTGCATTCGTAGTTCCCTTACCCAAGTAGGAATAATCTTATCTTAATTTGAAAATTATTCTAGCGTAACAAAAACAAACAATATAGAATTTAAAGTTTCTCATTTCAAACCTACTAATCAGCAGCTATGTCACGACCAAAAATCTCATCTTAAGGATTGTGATGGACTTAGTCCCTACGACTAGGTAAATAGCACATATTGAGAATATACAGAAATAACCAACTTAATTCAAAATATTAATTGATAATTGAAATAACATAACTGAACCGAATAACAATCATACAACTCCAAAATCGGTAGTACAGAATCATACGCTCTACTAAGTTCACTAGGACCTAAATACAGTACTGTTTTGGAGTAAATATAATTAGTAGTAATGAAAAACAATAGAATGTGACTCCGAGGCCTGCAGCCGCATTGGCAGGCATACATTGAGATCTCCGCAGCAAATCACAAGCAGCTAACTGACGTCCGACACGCTCAGAAGTACATGGATCTGCACAAAAATGTGCAAAAGTGTAACATGAGTACACCACAATCGGTACCCAGTAAGTACCAAGGCTAACCTCGATGGAGTAGTAACGAGGTACAAGTCAAGACATCTACTAGATCTGCCCGGCGTGGTCACAGGCTCAATATCTCAATTCGCCCGACATGGTCATAGGCTTAATATCTCAATATGTCCGGCATGGTCACAGGCCACCAGTCCAACTATATTGCAGAGAAAGCAGATATACAAGAAGTCATGTACGTGGTCAATGAACATCAAGTATCATACTCCTGGACTAGTGTAAATGGCATGATACGGTGTATGCATGTACAAGTATACTATCACAACTCAAGTGTCACGCTCCAAATCTAAAGAGGCGTAGCCGGCACCCGGTGCCATACTCGGTCCGAGCGAACCACTCTATAACTGTGAACTCCGGAGGGGTAACCCTCAACTTAGACCGTTGAGGCCATATTCTGAATCATCTGAAAATAGCGTCTACAATGAGCAATACCAAACTAAACATCTACCTAGGGCTGGTAAAGTCACAATACTGATATTAAAAATGTACAGGACTCGTCTACAAGCCTCTAGGGATAACTGAACTGTATCATGGTCAGGATAGGGCCTCGACCTACCCATCAAACCTGTATATATAAAATGGACTCCAAGGGTATAGACCTGGTAACTCCGAGGAAGTGGAGTTTACCAACCAAGCTGATGTTTGACTTTGTCCACTAGGAAGGTCTATCCAATTGTCTATCAGGACCTGCAAGCATGAAATGCAGTGTCCCCAAAAAAATGGACGTCATTACGAAATACGTAACGAGTATGTAAGGCAACAGAATAACTGAAAGCTGAAACTGAACTGATAATATAATAACTGAAAGTACCTAGGAGTCAAACATAATTTGAAAATATGCTTACCTGCTGATACTGACTCATCTCTCTTAATATAGTATGTAAAATAGCAGTCCGACCCTATAAGGCTCGGTATGTGTAAGTGCTCTGCCGTAGTAGGCTCTCATAGGCGCTCGACCATATTAAGCTCTGTATCTCGGCCATTCTAGGCTTGCTCATAGGCACTCTGCCGCAGTAGGCTCGGTATATAACTTATCATCTGATCAGATGTTGCCCAATAGGGTCCTGCCCATCGATTATAGCTCGATGGTGGTGAAAATACTGTAATACTCTATATATATAGACTCTCTACTCTCTTGGCTGAAAGAAGACAAAACTAAACTGAAAATGAAGTCCCGATAAGGAAGAATACTGTAGCTTATGAGACTAGGATAATGTACATAAATCCAAAAAAATAACTTCTCTTTATGCCTCGTTATCAAACGCATGTACTTACGGGATCATGCCAAAATGAAGGAAATGTTTAGCCTTAATATACCTTATCACAATATTTCCAATCACCAAGTTGAACTTCTCTTCTGCAACTTAATCTACAACAACGATAATAATACTATCATTAAGTTACGAAAGGTACAACGATTGCACAACGGACAACAAGCTTATTTTGTATTAAAACGGGCAACATCTCCCCTATAATCCTTACTTCCTCCAAATTCAAGATAACACCAACAACACAGGAACACAAAAATAACAACATATATACATTATTTTCCAACCTTATATACACCATAAAATACTACAAAATAGCCCAACACGCCCCAATCTCTTCATACACAAAATGACCACCGTAGTAGTGTCAAACGATCCGAAAATATTACGACGAATGACCAACCCTCCACCCTGCATTTATGTGGTGTTTCTCCACACCCTTCCTCCTCCTAAACTCCAGAAAACATTAGTAAAACACGCAATCCAAGAGCAACAGAAAATAGTCCACAAAATAGTCCGCTACAAGTGAATAACTCGAACTCACGGCTTCCGATCACCGTCCCGTGAGTTATTACAATTATAGAACGACTTTCAATACATCTCCAGCAGAAAAAATGGATGAAATAGAGCAGTAAACTTTCCTTATTTGTTGAATAACTCAGCTCCTATCTTGGTTCTTCAAACTCTAGGTTTTACCTTCAAGTAGAACTTAAAAAGGTGAGAAAATCAATTGGGGTTTGTGGGCAATGTTTGGGAGGATGTTTGCAGGGGTTTAGGTCTAGTTATTGTGTTATATAATTGAGTGTTATATTGCAGGAGATAAGGTCTTAAATGGGCTCTTTGGCCGATCCGAAATAGCCTCTTTTTGGACTCTCATTAAGCAAGTAGGTGACACACCTACTTGTCACCTAGCAGTCTGCGCAGTCTCACAGAAACGCACATATCTCTCTAATTTCGTACTGACAAACGGTTTAATGTGTTAGAAAAGAAATTCATAGATCGTCAGTCTGATGGGTGGAACACCCCGTAACTCTAAGTATATTGGGAGAAAATTGCAGTTACATTTGACCTAAATTTCAGTAAAACCTATGAACGTGACTTGTGATGACTTTCATCGACTTTTGTTCCACAACTCGCTTGACTTAAAAACATATCACACGACTATCATACGATTAACATAAATCATAACATAAACTCCTTATCATGTTAAACACCCTAGTCTCAGCCCAAAAGTACATGTTATAACATTCCCAACTTGTTGACTTTTGACGAAACATTATTTTCTTCAATTCCTTAGCTTTTGAACCTTCCAACCCTCTTTGTACTTGTTGTTCATGATCTTCAATATTTGTAATCTTTGAGGTAACATGATTAAATTAATTTATATACTTTCAAATATTATCTCATTTTTGGTCCTACATTAGCTTACTTATGACGCATTTTTACGTACGAAAACATGGGGTGTAACAACATTCCCCCCTTTGAAACATTAGTCCTCAAATGTTGGCTGATGCGCTTATCAGTCTCATAAATCATAGCTGTTACGAATATTTTAATACTGTCCTTGCCATCTAGGCAACTGTTTAAATCCGAAGGCTAGAGCATTCCCCCCCTTAGGCCTCTTTGTGATACCACGACTTGTTGTCGGAATTCTTCCAATCTTGTAACTTGCAACCTTCTATCATGCAGCCTGTATGACTTTGTCCTTGTATGTGCGCCTATGCCACTTTTAGATCCTTTTTCCTCCAGCTTTTAGCCAATCTCTAGGCCTCAGTTTGGAAACTAATACAGAATTATGACAAGTTGTTCCTCCCGATATATATAGGTGTACTGAAGTTCTTCACTCGGTACTTTGTTGAACTTACGACTGTTGCAATATCTTGTTTCGTAGCCTTGTATATCTATCCTTATGGCTTTACTACATCTAGGTAGGTTATACTATACCATAACACTTACTTCGGTTTATTATTACCGAGGTTTGCTACC